AAATGTATTTTTGGGACGATTCAAACAACCCACTATCCTTCTGTGGTGAAAATATTTGTTCTTATACTAATAAATGGAATTTTGAATAGTAAATATTTGTTAATCTTCATTAAATATTAACTAAAACCAAATCCTCTTAATATATATGGGCAATAATAAGTTAGATCCTTAACCTCTTATAAGAAGAGACAGAATTTATGTTATTTTTAAACATATCATACACCTTAAACAAACTCCGAAAAATTACGTGAGTGATTCCTTCTCCAATAAAATATACCTGGTAGACTGGTCCAAATCCTCCTTTTCCAAGTTGGTTTTTTGGATTGAAGTTTCCCGTTGCTCTTTTGAGAGTGTGATAGTCAAAATGACAGATTGTTCGAAGATTATTGCTGAAATTTTCTGTAATTGCAGTAATTATAAGAAAAAAATACATGTATTTGAGAAGAATTTTGATTCGTGAATGGATTTCAAGGATCTATGGTACTAACCAGGAAGAACATAAGGATCATTGGTTGAGAATCTTTTAGCTCTCCATATGTTCATTAGTGTACGCTTTCTATGCCTCCATAAAACAGCAAAGAGAACCGACACAATAAGAAGAACTAGTACACTGCTTAGGAAGAAGGCTGACGATGCATTCATTGGTGTTTTAGCATTTATCTCAGCAGATGTTTCAGATAGTGACGGAGAGAGAGCTGCAGAAGTACAAAGAAAAGAGCAACTCTTTTGAGGTAAAAACTAGTGATAAATGCTATTAAACACAATAAAATTACAATCATACTAAACTGAACATAACATAATAAAATCTAATTTTCCCATCTCCCTGCTTGATAAGAAGATTAAAGCTTGTTTTGAGATGGTATCTACGCACAAGTTGGGAATAAGGAGGTTCGAAAGAAAGTCCATAAATTAAGAATAATAAGTTCATTCCTTGTAGAGAGACATTAGCATTTGTGCTACCTAATTGAACTAGATGTGCTTTGTTAATAGTTAGTTTACAAATGCATGTAAAACTAGAGTATCTTTAAAAAATTATAAAGGGAAAAAAGATCCACCTCTCATAGTTGGGAAAAGGCTAAAATAATGATGGAAGAGAACAAAAGAAGACATCTTAGACTACATAGTTTAACACATTAGTTTCACTAACAAGATGGAATATAAGAGAATTTTGAGCAGAATAATTCATCACAGCATTTTTTTTCAAATTCCGAAGGGAATGAACCACAAATCTTTCTTTCTAGCTTGAATCTATTATGAGGGTTCCTTTCCTAATAAAAAATAAGATGCTAAATTCCTTTTAAAAACCACATAATAGGATCTCACTTTTGGCAAGCATTTTGATAATTCAACATGAAACACGGTTGATCAAAGAATAGTTCATCCAAATTACTTTCGGCAGCCGATGAATCCAATTTAGTTATTGTGGGCGCCAAAAAATTCAAGCTCTGGACTCGCTCAAAGATAAATGAGAGTTTTATCTAAGAATCTAGATCAATTTTTCAAAAGGCAGATGAGCCAATTGATAAGACCCTAACCAATGATTTTGTCCCCTTTTTGTGACGACTTTAAGATTTGGGGTTCGAGAACTCCCATACGCGCAAGCTTATATGATTAATTACACCTCCCGATAACGGGAGAGCACTATTGATTAAGCTTAATCATTAGATGATAAGTATTTAGACTCAACATACAGTAGCAATAAACTTAAATTTTAGATGATAAAATGTATAACTGTGATCAGCCTAAAGCTGATGATGAGGAGAATGATGATGAACCAAGTCAAGTCTAATAGTTTCCTCCCTCGAGTTGTCATAGACCGTGGTATGTCTAGTTGTAAGAGATAGTTGACCCAACTTGACACAATAGTTATTGTTAGCAATCATGAGTTATCTCGTCCAAAAAGATCCTGTAAACCTGGGATGGATATTTAATTAAGGGGACAAACTCAATTCGACCAAAATTTTTAGAGAGTCTTGTGCTCTATCAATATGCACTATGATTTATAACTCAAAAGGCAAAAAGTGATTCGAAAACATATGGGCTATAATTATGCCATAATATAGTGAGGCCTATAGGTCAAATCATCTAATCAGAGGGTTCTAATTTTAGCCATGTTTTGTGGAACCAATTAACCAAACCATACAGGCCCGAAACTCCAGCCATGTTATTACTGGTGCTGATTGTTTTAAGTATGAATGTAATAATATGTTTGATATGGCATTCGCTCATAATGAATTTAGGGTACGTCAAATTTCTCAATCTTGATAAACGATTGTTAATAGTGGATGTGTATTATTCTGAGTTTTAATGACAAATTTAATTTAAACATTTATAGAATTTTATAATTTTTTTTTTATTTTATATTTTTAGAGTTTAAATAAACCCATCCAGTTAAGATTCACCATTAACGCAATCATCAACGAGAAATTAATTATTTGATTATTCATATTTAAAATTTAACAAAATTTATCGAATGTCATTAAAGCGGCAGTCATGTCAACTCCAGTTCTTGCAAGGAAGACGATCGAACTAGCTCAGTAATGGTTCGGTCTTGTCAATTCCAATCCTTAGGAGAATTAAAGTAGCCAAGATAGATGTTCCGTCTTATCAATTTCAATCCTTATATGAAAAAAAAAAAGGTAGGCTTAGTACCTATGAACTCATACTTATTAGGAATAGAATCAATCTAACTTATGGTGAAACTTATAGACAAGACGACCGCTTAAGATTGTGTGTAAATTAATGCTTTTTAATTTAATTTTGAGAAAAAAAACTATAATTGCACATTTCTTGAAGCGAATTAGAGTTGAACTTAACCGTATTTTTAAACTACAAAACATTATTAGACATTTAAATTTAAGAATTAAAACTTATCAATGGACCACATATGGGTATTTAGCGTAGAAGTGCATGCATCTTGATCAATTTTTCAAGATACTTTAACGAATTCAAATATTGTGTTTGAATTGAAATATTGCATTACAAAATTCGTGCGAGCCATAAAGAATCTAAATTTAGTTATTTGCATGGGTAATTTGCAATTTAGGACACATGAAAATATTTCACTTTATGAACTTCAAATCACACCTTCTGTCAAAAAATAAATAGTTAAAAATAAATAAAAAAATCACGCATTTTATTTATTTGTATGCATGCGTTGTGGATTAAGTAGTGTGTTAAATGTTCTAAGATTTAATTTTGTGACTGAGAAGGCATAATTTCCTTTACACGTAGTTGATAATTTATTGACTTTACCGTTGAATTGAGTGGCTTCTATTCATGCTCGCAGACAATCAATTAACTTCACCACAAGCCTATTGTATGTTTTGCTCATGTTCGAAAACAAACTTCCAACTTTATTGCAAAGTCTGTGTGGCTTTCCCATGTCATTTTGTGAGACTTACAATGGAATTCAATTGTTTAATAAAAGGTACAATTTATGCTCATTAGCGACTAAATGAGTTTCTTACAAATTTCATTTGTGCTCATAAACGAGCGATGAGCTATCAAGTTTCATGTAAGTATAGTGAAAATTCTATTTGTATTCAATTATGTCTAGTTCAAATAATTCTTAAAATACTTTAAACATTTATTTTATCATTAGTTTTTGGTTTATACTTATATTAGATTATATTTGGATCCAACTGGTTCATTTTTGTGGTTCCTTTTAAGATGTATTCAATCAAATTTTCAACAAACTCCCAAGATCATCTCCACAGAATGGAATGCATCGGCATTCGGCAAAACAAGGTCTTACCACCAAGCTTAAACAGGCATGCATAGTTGGTTTCATTAAACATCGCAACCAACTTTCTTTTAACTCAACGCACTTCACTAAGCATGCGTACGACTTCAAGAACAATGCGAAACAAATATAAGATTTTTCTACCATGTTGGAATAATGTGAACGAGTACTTAAAAACAGATTTTTCTTATGTGAAGGAAAAGCGGGGCTGGACATAGAGGGGAGAAGAGGAAAGATAACTTCTTGTGTAGATGGTGGCAGGTGTCCGTGTTTTGTGTGTGCCAAAAGGGAGGCATAGGACTATATGATTTGAAATGAGGAAAAATGAGATCTGACAAGGCATTGAGAATGGATGAGAAATTTGGAGATTTTGACAAGAATATGGGAGGCACATGCAAGCACATATATATATATATATATATATATATATTGATTTAATTTAGTGATAAATATAAAATTGAATCAAGGTATTCATCATTGCACATTTTCTCATTTTTTGTGTACTTTCAATTCATATCATTGTCTCAAATTTTGTGTCGGCAATTTATGTGTGGAATTCAAACAATTTGGCTGTTAATTATGGGCAATTTTAAAATCTCAAACGCAGTCAACCCAATCCATTTTATAATTGCATATCGCTTGAACAGTTTTGGTGAACATCAAAGCAATTCAATTCCATACAAAGTGCGTCGTGCCGACAATCCATTATTTTTTCCGTGCATAGTCATTTTGATCCTGGAATATCTCCTTTTGCATAAATTTGATGCTCTGAACTCATTGTTGTAGTCCACTTAATATATGCGCATCATTTAAGCAGTTTCGATAATGATCGAAACAACTTAGGCTCGACCATGTTTTGTCACATTTGTTGTCTGTCATCTTCGTTGAAAGCTCCCTACCTAAGTGGGCAATTTTGGCATCCAAATACATTGACAAAGTCCATCCTATGAATAGGCGATGTTTCAAGTGACCTTGAACATGATCAAGGCATTTTGACCTTAAATGGCATGACATCGCATTTATCATTCGTAATTCACATCATGTTTGATCGACTCATCTTGTGGAATATGGGTCAACAATGATCAAATTGGATTTTATTAGTAATTGTAAGCATTAATCAACATAGGAAGACATTTGTTGAGATGATCCTGAACTGGTAAAACAATGTAAGATTTACATGCATACCACTTAATTCTTATGTATATACATACATAACGCCTAAACTTCAATTTTTACATATGTGGCCAACTTACCTATGCATGAAAAGCTCTATTTCACTTTTTATAAGTTGAAATAGTGGTATCTTTTATGTGATATGAAAGATTTTGGTGGTGTAAATCGAAAAAGCAAAGTTCAGGTGCTAGATATGTAAATACATAGGAATTGGGCGGTACGTATGTAAATGCCCCAAACAATTTATGCCTATATTAGAAAATGGAATTTGCAAATGTCTGCATAGGCTTATGGTATTTTCTGCGCTTCCACACTATCACCAATCAATGATTTTCTTATGTTTATCATTAGGAGAAATGTTTTGCATTTATGTACAATTATACCATTGCACACTATTTTATCCCCTTTCTATGGGCAGATGGCTTTTGTCAGCTTTTAAGTAATATAATGGCAACTAGGATGGAAGAAAACATTATGAAGCGAAACAACTACAACAGGATCTACCGGTCAACATGGTGGTGGCATTGGTTGCCCTAATTCTGTACTAATTTCTGGTATCATAAAACTAAATATTGTTTAAATTACAGAAAAAAACAGATGAAATGGAGCCAAATTCAAGAATATGGAAACCAAGAATTTCATGATTTTCTCAAAGATCGTCGCAACATTTCTTTTTGAAGGAATACCAAAATTGATATAAATATATTGGAGAAATCAATATCAGACCTAATATCCTATACAGCACCTTCTGCTTTCAAGAAGCTTTATATGCATTTCTCTACTTTTCCTTCAAATTGTTGTGTACTTAAGGAAAACTGTTATTTTCTTTTCCTTTTCGCTTGTGTCTGAAACTAGCACCAAAACAAAACAAAAATCTCTTTATAATATCAATCAGGCTAAAATGAAGATGAACAGGTTCAAAAACTCATACGCAATATGGAAGATGACAGTTACTGTTGTCTGAATTTCTGATGTTTCTAGCATAAGAATTTAAATAAAGAAATTGAGAATGAGGAGCTATAAAACAAACCCCAAACAGTTGGATCAACGTTATTGAAGATAGGGATGATGATAAATAAAACATAATCTGAGACTTTCTTGATCCACAAACGACTTGATTTTGCAGCCCTCCTTTGTTATAACAAGAGACAAAGTTGATACCAAGATAACAACAACGAATCTAATCCTGATAAAGAACTACACAGCATCTTCTAAGCTTATTCTATTCTTTCTCTCTCTCTTGCTCTTTCTGATCAAGCAACAAACAGGATTACTCACTGAAATTCAATTGCATATGACAGAAAATGGCAACAAAAAATAAAAAATTAAAAAAAAACGCTCAATCGTTTTAATGATGAGAATTCTGTTTCTCTTTAGCAGGATTTTGAGAATCATAAAAGAATTGCAGCCAAGAAAATACTGAGAAGGAGAGCATACCGTAAAGCGTTTGCCGAACAATATAATGCCCTCTATCTTCCCTTTTTCAAACAGTTTCAAGAATGATTGAATACACCCTTCTTTCGTCTCTCCTCTTCGCCTAGTCTTTTACCCCCTATATTTGTTAATCTGTGCCCTATATTTGTTAATCTGTGGGTCGGAAATCGGAGTTCTGGAACCAAGTCCGTATGGGGGCATAAAGAATGCCGGTAAATCCAAAGCCATCGATATAAACAAAGAAGGTTGAAAACTCGAAATGTTTTCCAAGAGGCGGAGATGGGGAGAAGTGGAACAAGTCTATTTGTGTGCATCGGCTCCGCACAGCTCATATCCTGTCGTTTTCTTTTGTCTTCTTGTTTATTCTTCGTGACCTTACTCCTGAAACTTTAGGTTTCCATGGCGGACTTGGTCGGTGAAAGCAGAGATCCATGCCAAGCCCGAGAGCGAAGTAGATATTTCTAGGGCTCGGAGTGCCGGAACTTCATGCCGAGCCGTGGTTTGGCAAATTCTATGCTGACACTGAGGCTCTAACATTACTTCAGGTTGCTTGTATTGAAAAATATATTTGTAAAACTTCATATTATTTTATATAATCCTATTATGTTGAAATCATCTCAAAATATATGAGTTGAAAAGTTGTCTTTTTAGAAAAAAAATAATATTTGTGATACTTTTTATGTGATATTAAATATTTATATTATATAAATAAATATTAAAGTTTGAGTGCTAGATATATAAAAATATAAAAATTATATGATATGTATGTAAATCCTTTAATATAGGGGGGCTAATTTAAATGTTATGTTGATGGTTATATGTAGATTAATATTTATCCTGAAAGTGAAAGAATGCTTGCAAATGTAATAACCTACATTATCTTTAATAACCCTAAATCAAACTGATTTGGACCATTTCCTTCGTGCTACCTTATTGATACTTTATTGTCTTCAACATGGACTTAGGCGTCAAACAACAAGTTTTTTTGGGGGGAAATTTTGAGAACATGTTCTTAATGATTGGCTCTGACAAAGTCCTTGGACTTGATGGTCTTACTTCAAATTTCTTCAAAAAAACTTGGGGCATTACTAGCCCTTCTTATATTTAGACTTTAAAATACCTCTTTGACAATTCCAAGCTTCCTAATCATGTTTAGCACTCTATTATAACTTCAATACCCAAAACAGCCTCAAGCTCAAATGTTCAGTGATTGCACGCCAATATCACTTTATGGTACAACTTACAAAGTCATATCCAAGCTCATAGCTAATAGACTTAAGTAAACTCTATCAACTATTATTCACCCCGCTCAAGCTGCCTTTATATGTGCTAGAGACATTGTTGAAAATGTCATTGCAGTTAATGAGATCATTTAGGAATTTAATTGTTCCACTCATTTTAAAACTTTTTGCTCTAAGATTAATCTTTTGAAAGCTTTTGACGAAGTTGACATAAAGTTTCTCTATGATCATTGGGTGGGTTAAAGTTTGTGCTATGCTGGTTCATTTAAGCTTGTGCTATGCTGGTTCATTTTTCTATGATCATTGGGTGAATTTCATAAAAACTTTAAAAAATGAACCATGGTACTTGTGTTCTTAGAGCTTATAGTCTTAGACAAGGATGTCTTCTTTCTCTTTATCTTTTTTTATTATAATGGATGTCTTTTCAAGTCTTATGGATTAATACCATCAAAGTTCTACTTATGACCTTAATAACAAAAAGATTAGCCATCTTATTTATGTTGATGATCTCTTGGTATTTGGCAAAGTCTACTCTAATACTGCTACTCTTATTGTTTCATTTCTTGATATCTTCAATGAGCCTTCTCATGTATATGAAAACATCTCCAAATCCACCATCTATTTTTTTAATGTTGTTAATGAACATCTCGAACCGCATACGTGTAACATCATTGGTTTTTCAATTTAAAGCTCCCCCATGGGATTATTTGGGCATTACTATCAATTCATTCAATCTTCAAGTTGTTGATTACACCGACATTTTACAAAAATATACATTATTACATTGGAGGTTAGAAACAATAAGTTTTATCCTTCACTAGAAAGTTCCAATTATTAAAATCAATCATTTAAAGCTACTTGTACTATTTGTTTAGACCTTCTATAATTCCCTAAGGACTAAAAATGAAGAAATCTTCTCTTATAAATAATTTCATCCAACATAATGGCAAGTATAATAAGCTTCACGTTATTGTTTGAAATATAACCACCAAACCTAGGGATCTTAGTGGACTTGACTTTTTAAATCTGGATATTATTAATATCATGTGTATAGCTAAATTATTTTGAGATTTTTTGAACACCAATTCTCTTCTCTCTTATTGGTTTCACAACCTCTAAGGATCACTTTTATGTACCCTAAATCAAAAAAACTTCCCACTTTAGAGAACACTCAAGAAAACTGTTGTAGGATTGAGGAATGGCTTCTATTTTCAAAATTACTCCTAATTTCAAGTTCTCATTCCTTTTTTGCCTTTGGATTAATTATAGTTCCATACACAAAACATATAGGTATGCCTCCATATCTTGTAACTTTAGAACCAAGGTTCTAAATTTTATTATGAACAATAATTGAAGTGTGCATTCTTTATATCCTATAGTCGGTGATTAACTCCATTTGATTTTAAATATTCCAATTGTTGATGCATTTTTGGATTGATTATGACAAGGTAAAGATAGCTATTCTCATAACCACATAAACAATTACCTTTATGGTGACAAACTAAAGTGTGCTAGAGCGAATATATTTCGTTCAAATGCTTCTTTTCAAATATATTGTGTTAAATTAAAAAATTATGTTTGAAGGAATCAAAACAAGAGATGCTTTTACTTCATAGAGGTATTTAGGTTGAACCTTTATGCGTGCTTTGTGCCTTCTATAATAAATCCCATTCTTATATCTTTTATGAATGTGTCTATTCTCTTAATGTCTCAAAGTGCTCTAGTCTTAAGAAAACTTCTTTCACATGGGCTACAACATATCCCAAGTATTAAACTATTCTGACAATATTTGATAGAACATCATTACGAAAGATTATATACATATATATATATATATATATTTGCACAACTTCACACTACCTTTAGCTTGAAAGAAATGATAGAGTGTTTAACAAAGTCTCTTTGCCTGTGCAAATGCTTAAATAGAAAATTTTCTTTGTCACTTATTTAAACAGCAAAAAGTGATAGGGTAGAGGGGAAATCCACTCTTTCATCACCTCTCTTTACTATTTTGGAAGATAATTATGGTTTCTTTGGCTCTGGTTATTTTACTAGATGGGTTTACTTACACAAAAGCCATATTATTTTTGGATAATTTTGGTTATGATGTCGGTATGAGACTTTTTTTTACTATTTTATTATTTTATTATTATATTTTTAAATTTTAGGTTATGTTTTGATTTGGATAGTGGTTATGATCTTGGGTTGTGCACATACAGAAGTTATTTTTTCAACTTTGGCTTTCTCAGAGTTTTATGTATCATAGGCATGCTTCTATTTTATGTTATTGAGTTTAGATCAGGATGATGATTCACTGATGTTGTTATTTTTGTCATAACTTATCAAATTATTTAGTTGGGAAGTTCTGTTGTTGTGTGCTCTGCTACTATTTGGGGATGCCTCTTCTTAGTCAATTTTATTCTTATTTGTATAAAAGCATTATATATGCTACACTTCAATTTTTATCTATTTGATTGACTTTTGACCCCACATCTTTTTGCAAATATTTTTACCTTTTAAAGCTATGAAGTTTACTAATACAAAAATTAGACTCAACTAATTACTCGCTGCTATATTTGAATGCTATTTGGATACTTTTTTATATAATTGAAGCTTACTGATATGACATGTTTCAGAATGGTTGTTGCAATATAATTGTTCGTTAGTTTGGATTGGAGGCTTGTTATGCAAAGATGTTGCAATGACCTAGCATGGCAACTTGCTATTTTCTTATATATTCTCTTTTTTTCGCCTATCCCTAAAGGATTACAAATGAGATCTCTCATTATTATGGCCATGATATACAAACAGGTTAATAACTTTGAATGGACTCTTCTTGGTGGTTGTGATTTTACTGAGCTCTTTCTCTATTTTGCAATTTAATAAAACATTTACTGCATAAATTAAAAAGTCTTTGCATTAATAATTTTTAAGTGTTGATATCAATATGTACAGTGGAGATTATTTCTAAGACATAAGTAGATATTGAAGAATACATTTGGTGTTCATAGTTGGTTGAATATGATCATGACAGTCACTCTTTTATAAGGAGGTAATTTAAATTACTTGGAGTTTGTAGGCGACTGAAATTTGACAGCACAACCCCTCTTCTATTGATGTAGAATATATGATCGTTGTTACTAAACAGCCGGATTATTTTTTGTTTTTATTAGGCAATATTTTTAAACTGCAAGAGCAATAATTTATAGATTATTATTTTATAAATTAAAATAAAATTGTGTGCTGTATTTTGTTTAGCAAACTAAATTTAATTTTTCAATGTCTTAATCAAAATTTTTAATAATAAATAACAAATTGTTAAGCATGATTTGAGGGTGGTCCCGCGCAAGTGTGTTGCAAGCCACTTGGCTGCAAAACATAATTTATTGGGCTTAAACAAGATTATTAATAATAATAATAATAATAAAGTTTTGGTTAGTCGGCCACGAGCTTTCAAACATTTTTATGACTGATTTTTATCAAGAAATATTTTTTATTGAGTATGGACGCGTCCTCAAAAATTTTTTATCATTTGTCATAAATTTCGAGGTATTTTCAATAAGAAATTTACTTGTCGTCTCTACAAGATGAACCAGATCATATAGAAGTTGGTTCAATCTGAGTCCAATTAAACCTATATGAAGCCATTAATGCATACTGTGAGGTTTTGGATTATCAGTTGAATGATTAAATTAACTCCAACTTTGACATATGTATATTAAAATCAAATCGTCTTGACGGCATGAATCCAACAATCTTAAGCTCGCTTAATTCTAATGTCAATAATGCCCTCAAATCATTAAAATAACTATTATGATTAAGGAGAATTAATATGGGATCTTTAATCAAGTGGTACTAAAATCCCCTACCTCGGAGGCTATAAAAAGGTCCCTCTCTCTTCACTTGAGAGGTAGGGGAAGGATAAAAGAAATTCCAGGACTTGTTTTGGGCTGAAGACTTGATAATAACTTCTGACCTCTGTGACTACCAACTTTTATCGACCACTGTCCGTCAGTCATCGTTGACCACCTTAAATCTTCTTCCGTCGACGACCCCTGCTGGCAAACATTCTATCTCAAATACGGTCGTATGATATAACGTCATATTGAAGACCTGATGATAACTTCTTGTCTTAGCAGTAGTTGACTACCATCGACTATTGTCTCACGACCATCATCAACCACCACCGAAAACCCTTGCTCACCACCATAGGTGACTCCTGTTTGCTAATATTGTATCCCAAATATAGTTGTAACATATCAGCATTTCTATTATAGCCTAGAATTACA